AAAATAAGAGTATAGCTAGAATTAAACTTTCGTGTTTATGTATGGGTGTGATGTATCGTAGTAGTGTGTCCGTGTGCTCATGTATATACGAAAATGGTAATTCTGTCGGTAATACATAGATGTCGGTAGACCCGCTACGGGATCCTCTTAAGTACAAGAGCATCGCATAGGACCTGACTATAGCACGAAACGCAACCAAAATTTCGCAAATCTGCGTTACCCACTTGGCAAAATGTGGATATTGGCTACGTAGTTCAATGTCCACGTTTTCAATGTCCACAGAGGGCGTATCGCATTCGCCAATCACGAAAAACGGGGCCGTGACATCTCTCAGGCTTCTCTCTGCTTAAAGTAAAACGCTGCCGCCATCTGATCGGTCGCGGTCGCGTTTTCTCGCCGGCTAACGTCCATCTTTGAGAGAAGATAAAGAGCGGTCGCGTTAGCGATCTGTGAAATCATGCTGTTACGCCATGCCATCATATATCATTGTGTCCCGAACATAAGAATCAACACATCCATACATACATATATGTCTATTTTTGCAATGGTAAAACGAAGATAAAATATCTGTTGTACCGACAGGAATAGTGCAGCGACTGACCGAATATGCGCAGTAAAGAAAAAGTGCGCGAAATTAGAAATGGGTCAATAATTTATCTAATAATCTCCGCCTAAGTACATGAGTCTACTATATACTAGAATTAGATAGAACACTACGCCAGCTAGAATGTATCATGTAAACAACATTTTGTCTTATGTAGAAGTTTTGTTAATCGCTTTTCGGTATTTTTAATATAAAATGTGTTTTCACAATAGTTGGTCTTGTTATTAAGAATTGTTATTAAGAACATTACGCGTAATTTGAAGTAGAAGTGCCAGAAGGGATATATTACATACGTATATAAATTATTAGTAATTAGTTTCGATATATCCACGAGGGCTAATACCTTTTTTAACGATCAAACTCGGACAAATCTCTCTCACGTTATGCTTTAAATAGCAAACCTAAGTTGTGTGTTGTGTTAACTCGATATTAATTTTTTTAAATATACACATAATTGCACGACTTTTTGTCGATAATCCCCTCCTCGGGTACTACCTTGTCGTGGTGGAGGGGCTCATGTACCCCGAAGAGTTACTCTCTAAAAATCAATCAGTGCATTATCACTGAAAACAATGAATATTCACTGATTTACAGTAATGATGCACTGATTAATTTTTAGAGAGTACATACTCTAAAGACGGGACAACCAAAGGTACCCATTGCACTATTTGGGCCCGATTTTTCAGTTTCTAATAAACTGTTGACCACAGTTTAATCGATTCTCTGTCTCTTCTTAGATAATAATATAGAAAAGCATAGAGAGTCGAGTAACTTCCATATTAACAGTTAACCAGAAAATGATAAACCAGGCCTAACACTCTCTGAAAGTTAATCGGTGGATTATTACTGAAAATAAGGAATCAATTCACTGTTTTCAGTGATAATCCACCGATTGACTTTTAGAGAGCACATTTATTTACTTCATTTATTAATTGATTTTGTTTATTTCAGCACTAACTTTCGAGGACTGGCGAATAATTTCGCTCTTATTTCGCCAGTTTAAACTTTAAACGAATCGCAACCGCGCGCGGCGATTCGTGTCGCGCCGCGTTCGGGAGTGCCGTTTAACTAATCGAGTAAAGACTTTTTCATTTTTCTATCGTGCTATTCCTTTTTTAACAATTAGGTTGAATAATCCAACACAACTGGCTACAGGAAACTTCCTTTATTGTAACACAACGTTTCGACCATGGATTTTGGCCCTTTGCAAGTGTATTCTACAGTTTCTAGTCGGCGTATGGCATGAATACGAGTATCGTTTAAAGAAGCAATTGTCGTTCGTAATTATCGCAAGAAGTAATTTCAAGATGTATAGATCTCATGTGTGAATTGCGCGAGATATCTGGCTTGCCGGTTAACCGAGCATCGATGGCAAAACACGGGGATTCAGCGATCGCGCGATGATATCGATCGTTAATTATTCGCAGAGAGCAATTGCGGTTTCTTCTCGAATTTTCGCAAGCGCGTATCAAGAAAAAACACGCTATGCGGAACGGCGCGGGCGTAACCGATTCATTCTATTGTCGCCACGTGAATGACCTTGCGTACGGCGTGATCGTGTGACGCCGAGCACCGTAGACCGAGCGTCGATTCAAAGAGATGACGTAGCGTCGTAAACAACACAGTCGAAAATCGAGCGCGGGTTCCAAGAAATGACGTAGCACGTTAACACTTCGGGCAAAAACAGTTTATCATTCGGCGCGGTTCAGCCGAACGAGACGGATGTTCCGCGTGTTTTCGCGTCGCTCCTCGTATCAATCGCTTGCCAGGAAATAATATCTCGAACAATTATACGCACAAAAGTGCGCGTATAACATAAAGTTTCCATTTTCGTCGCGTTCGGGAGTGCCGTTTAAATAATCGAACCAAAGACTTTTCAAACGGGAGTGTAAAATCGCGCGAACGATCTGTGTGTTTTCGCGAGTGTGCCAGTGGACAATCTGAGAGGAGGAGGAGGCCCGGGAGAGGCATCAGGCGCCGGTGGAGCAACTTTAGGGTAAGTATTTTTATTTCGTATAAACTAATCTTCCTTTCATTATTTTCAATAATTTAAAAATTATTTTCTTGAAGATTGGGTTCCTTGAATACTCTGTTCTAATGTGAATTTTTTAATTGTATGTTACAGACTCGTCATAGTTAAACTCCGCTGCTGCGCATTGTAATGGTGGTGAGTCAGACACTTTTTTATTAAGGCAACGAATCTACTTCTCGTAGATCGTAGATAGTAGATGTAGATCGTAGATCGATTAGTATATCTCGTAGATTCGTTGCCAAAATGGATAGAGTACAACAGAATTTCATATTTATTTTTATACATTTCATCTACCTATCGATCGCGATTTTTACTGTGGAGGGTTGGGTGCCACGTTACAGCACATCATATATTTTCACGTAAAATATGGCGAATATTATTAATGTATTCGTCGAGCTAATCCCTTGTAGTCTATCCATTTTTCATTAACAAATTTATATACGAAACGATATGACGTGAGATACTAATATTTTGTTGAGAACGCTGAAACTTTATATTATTTTCACACATTATTTGAGATTATTGATTAATTAGAATATTCATTTATCCGTCTATCTATCGTACGGAAAGTTTCTTTTCTCTAGGTCTCACGTCATTTCTGTATATGTTTTCTGTATATCATTTTCTGTATATGTATCTCGCGATACACTGTCAAGATGCGTCTCGCATAAATACATGCGTACACCCACAGAAAAAATTTCTTGATCCAATGCTATTACACTTGAATGTATCATAAAATAGGATCGATATATCGCCAATCATGTTTATTACAAAGAAAGGAATATTTTAATCTTAAATAAAAAATTCTAAAATCTAGAATAAAATGATAGTATGTATCGTCTTTTGTTGAATATCGTGGTGCCAACTTCGTGCGTTGGAAGATGGAGGGAAAATTTATTTTAAACGTAAGAATATATAAACTTACATTTATATAAGTTACTCTTGTCTCAATATAGTAAGTCAATCCTTTTTTAATTCGATAGAGGAGAATAAGAAATATTGATTTTATTTTGATATTTTCTTATTTTTATACTAAATGAGGTGAGAAATATAAATACGTTAAGAATATTTTTTGTCTCACAATCAGTAACAGAAATCCTTTCTGAGGGTGTAGTTACACGCATCTTCGTATTTTCGCGGTCGGTTTTCGCGATCAGTTCTTCAAAAAATTTTCAAAAATTATTAATAGTTTAACTTCATCGATATTATAAATTTAAATTTATCGCGGAGAAAATTGTTTCTTTCTATATACTTATATACTTGAATTTTGAATTTAAAGATTGAGCCATGTAGAGACAGTCATAATATCTATTCTATATCTATTCTTGAATAAATAACAGAAGTAAAAATATATTTGATTAGTTTTATATAGACAAATTTTTAATTAATTTTCTTCTTTAATTAACTTCTCGTGGTCGTACATTTTTCGATACGATCGACACTCGTATATTCGAACCGTACGAAATATTTGTTGGTGACGATAACCGACTATGGAAGGAGTTTTCTTCCTTCCTGATCTCTGGTCAAGATGACCAGATTGTATGGCCGGGAGCAACGAAAGGTATGTCCAATCTGGCCCAACGAAGGACTAAATACGACGAGGTGAGTGGTCAATATTGACCATTCTGATGGAGTACCTAAGTAAGGTGCTGTACGAAGTATACTTTGATTTCTTTTGATTTGTTACAAATCGGGTGGGTTATGCTTCTATATACATACATTCTTGCATATGTGCGAGAGTGAAACCCCTATTAAATACCGCGGGCGCGTTAAACTCCAAGTCAAACCCCTAGAAAATCGCGCCGGGTTTAATTACAGATTTATAGATTTATTACGTTGAAACACGGGTAGGTAGAAAATAGATAGGTAGGTCTATAAATCGGAATACGGGTAGGTAGGAATTCGGATAGTCAGGGATAGGGGGACATAATTCGATAGTTTACAAGATTAGGTAACATAAATTAACGAAGTAACAATAACTTTAATATAATAAGTACGTAAAAAGAATTTCGTGTTATATTGTACGTATACCGAATATTTCATATACAATATAACGTCGAGAGAAATATTGTAGGTATTGTACGGATATTTTATTTTTAAATTTATAACGTCATTATTTTTTTTATAATATTGTATGTGTATTGTAAAGTAAGTTATAAGAAAAATGAAATAAATAATAAAAATGTAAGAAATTAAACTGTAAAGTAAAGAGGACCGTCGATTAAACGCAGCGGGGGTGGTGGAGGGCCTCTGTATAAGTCAATTTGTTTCTATCGAATAAAATTTTAATTCAATTTGATTCACATAGTCTTTTAATCGATAGTTTCGTTTACAATTGATCAATAAATTTGCCTATACAGTTTGATTTTTCGTTTGCACATTAATAAAAAATGTTGTACAATTCTACACTGAGAAAAATTTTCATCGGATAAACCAATTAAATAGTATGTCCGATGGTTAATTTTTCCGATTACTTTTTCCGATTAAATTATGGATATATCCGATGAAATTTATCCGATGAAATGCAATTACCGATGAAATTTGATTGAAAAACCGATCAAATTTTTCATCGGATATACAATTTAATCGGACATATCCGTTTGTTATCATGTAATTGGATTATCCGATTATATTTAATCGGACATTTTTCTCAGTGTAAGCACAGCCACATATGTAACACATTGTGTGTACTGTGTAACATTTTCTATTAATGTTTTACATTGTAAGAGTTAGGTACATATTATTGTAAACACATGTAACATGTTCATATGTAATTTTATGTTATAATGAAAAATTGTACTTTATTTTTGTATATCATGTTTTTAGTCTCGCTATGTAACCTTATCTGTGTTTTTGTATTTATGTATACAATATTACAAAAATTGTAAAAAGTTAATCACTTATAAAAATATAAAAACACAATTATTGTAAAGAAAATAGAACTGCCGATAAAAATTTGGAGGGCCTCTACAAGATGATCCGTTTTTATCGGATAAACATTCAATTCAAATAAAAAAGAGAGGTATTATTTCATTTATAACTAGAAAATGCAAAGTTTAATTTATCAGAATGCGGTCGTATTAATTGTCCGATATAAACAGAGCAAACTTGTAGTTCGGATATTAGACATAGCATGGATACGAACCATGTACCGTTACCGAGCGTAACGGACGTAGTTGACATCTACTGTCTCAGGGGGCGTTCTCTGAAAAAGCAGTGACCACTCTCGCTTGGTATACATTTTTTGGGCATAAATTGTACAGCTCGAAGGGGACGGTTTGTTACACTGGCGGACTTTTGTGCTACGCTAAAGAAATTAAGGTCTTGTATAAGTTGTTGACAACTATTCAAATTACATTCTTTCATTAGTAGTATCTTTTTATCGATATAAAAGATCGTACGTTCTGTCACTCTGACGTAGAACTTGATAAAAATCTTAACCTCATTCATTTGAAGAAATTAATAATTTTATATCATTTTTCACTGTGACATCTACGTTAAATATAAAATTCATATTTATATTGTATTATCAGAGAGATGAGGTTGACGTCGATAGTGTTTCGTAACGCAAGACAACCACAAAATCCGAACAAGGTACCTTTTAAGGCTGTCGCGCCGTTAAAACTGAAGGATTTTGTGAGCTCGAAGGGCCAAAAGATAACAGGTATATTTGAAGAGCAATTTCGTTTTTTTATTATATTCTAATGGTACATTCGTTACAATATGGCAGACCATAGGCTGCAACCATTATTTTGCATAGAGCATTTCAATATTTATTCTAATTAACGGTAAAATATAGTATTTGGGAAACTTCTGTGCTTCATTGATCTAATGCATTTCTACTCTCAGAACAGGGGTGTTTACATGAAATGTCCTTGCTCTTAACGTGCCTCGAGGAAAACGAGTTTGAGGACAAAAGATGTGCTCCACAATTGACGGCATTAAATAAATGCTTCAAGAGTTACAGAGATAATATGCAGCATGAAAAAAGCATAAAAGATCAAGTGGTACCTGTACCAATGAGTAAGAACCTTACACATAAGCAAGTCACATATCTTCTACGAAGCTATCCAACAGTATAGCGTCCTTCTGTAATGCTGCATCAGTGCATCATTATGCATTGTAAAACTATTTAATTGTTACCATACTTAATACAAATGCAGAGAAAATGTTTCTGTAAATAGTTTTATTTCAGTTTGTACAATTGTATAAAATATGTACAGAGGGGATAAGTTTTTTTAACTTAAAATAATTATTTCCTGTTCTTATTATCGACGGCGTCCTCGAGTTTGTCAGAAATCGTGTGCATACGTTTCAATGCGAGCCGTTTTGAGTAACCTAAATGTGATACGATCTATTATGCAAGAGTTTGATCGTATCGTAAAATTATATGACTTAATACATACGAATTGGTTCGATGTTGCTGGAAATAGCTTGGGAAATAGTTGTAGTTTTCTGTATGACGTCCAATTGCTGTTCAATTCTTCGTAAAGTCTTATAATTCTCTAACTGTCCGTCTTTATAATAGTAATATGTACAGAATAATGTTATAGCACAAAGTATCAAGGCAATTTTTCTGTACAACCACGTTGTACTTAGCAGATGCGTCTGTAAGAGAACCCGGTGTAGCGCTTTTTGGCGAAAAAAAATCGTTTGAAAAATTTGTAATACTATTACCTTATCATCCGGAGACTGAGAAATAATTTTGTCATAATATTGAACTAGTATTCTCTCGGCCACGATATTTAAACTTAGGATGCCGAAGAGCGTAACTCTTGCATCAACCGTTCTTCTGGAAGAACTGAATAACGCGCATAGAATACAGCTGACGGTATAAAAAATGATAGATTGAAACCAAGACACTTCTCCAATAATCCAGCTTTGGAAGGTGCGTACATATGAGAAGATCTCGTAAAGCAACTCTTTCTGATCTTTGGCAGATTCTCTAGAATTCAAGAGTTTCGACAGTCACGATATAATTACCACTTGACTAGATTCTTAAACGTCACACAAATCATTGTGAATTTACTTGAAATCTGACACCATAGTGTTAACCGTCTCGGACGAAGTTTGTAGTACAGTCTCGAGTTCTTTGCCGTGGTCTAAAAGCTCGTTTTGAATACGCAAGCCCTCCTTCTGACTATTCAATATTACACCTTGCATCTCCGACGCTTCTAGCAATTGAGCCTTCATCCGGGAAGTCACGTGAAACAATCTATATTACAATATATGAAGAGATACGTGAGTGCTCTTGTATTTTACCACAGTTGGGAAAGTTACTTTATAAATGTATCTAGTTACAGTTACAGTTTTTTTCGCTGAAAATGTAACTAGTTACAGTTACAATTTGCCAATTCTGAAAAGTAACGCGTCACAGTTAGTTACTCAAAAAGTAACGAATCGTTACTTGGCAGTTACTTTCTTGCAATAAAAATAAAAATATCAAATCTGCATTTGAATTTTAAAGTGTCGACAAAGGAGTTTATGTGCAAATGCAAGGCCTAATGCGATCTGTGGACGTTTAAAATATATATAAAGTAATTATTAATGTAACTATCAAATTAGTTACTATTTATCGAAAAAATTTAACTGTAAGTTACAAGTAACGAGTTACTTCCCAACTCTGTATTTTACAATATGCAAAGATTACACAGGATACGTGTCGTGGAAATTTTCAGAATAGATTTCGATCGAAATAAATTATTTCCTAGATCTCTATTGCATTTTCTACGAGAAAAACAAAATAATTCCGATCAGAATCCATTTCGAATATCTCCATGACACACGTGTCCAGGGCATTATACGTACAACTTTATAGTGTTATCAACTTCGGCCTGCCAAGCTTCATGATTCAAAAAGAAACAGATGTGAGTCGCGTGAGTGTAGAATTCATTGTAAACGCTGAACGCTCGGTCTGCCATGCCGCCGATGCATTTCCTGCGAAGCAGATATCGGTAGATTATCACAGGATCGAGTAGGAAATGTAGAAAAGTAGTAAAAAAAACATTGTTTTACCGACGCTCGTCTTCCGTCTCGCTGAGATGGCAGTTGTAGATCGCGTGACCGGAATCCTCCAAGAAACAATTGGCTAGGCGCAAGGCGAGAAGCGAGTGCTCCTGATCGTTCAACTTTTCACAATTGCCCTCCAACGCTTGGAGCGCGACATGCCAGCACTTTCCATGTTGCGGTAGCGATGATTTTGCTGAAAAGAAGGGTTTCTTGCTAGCTACTGCTTATCAGCTCTTACTTTTTAGCTTCTTTTAGCTTCTCACCTTTTATCAGGGAGTATTCCTTTTCTCCCAAGTCTCTTAAGATCGCGTTGCCATTGCTGGCGGATATTTCATGAATAGCAAGTAACAAAAGCCAAATCATCTTGGAGCTAAATCCACGATTCCCCCGGATCTCGCCAGTTTTTAGGAATGTATGTTGGCAGGAAGCGTACGGTCCTTCATTGTTGTATCGAGTGGCATATTTGGCCTAAACAAAAGATGTGAAATAGACTTATAATTGTATCATATACGTGCTCGTATCAGTTCAACAGGTGTGTGAAAAGCAACAATCAACTGCACAGTTAATCAAAGACAATCGCAGAAATGATTAACCTGCATGGTCGTTTGAATTTAATAGACCTGTAGAATTGAACTTCACAAATTGCGAAATTCACGTTTGAGCTGCTTTCGGAAACATCACCCGAGTGCCCCAACGCATCAATTTATCCTAGTTGTTCACCGAATATCAATCAAGGATTCCAGATAGCGATGCATATCTAAAAGACATCATAAAGATTTAGATGTGCATGTCTAAAAAAACAACATAATGCCGTCTTAAAGATGTCTTTTAAACACGCTATCTGGGATAAAATGATACCCTGGAGCACTCGTGTTGATGTTCTCGAACGCGTCTTTAGACAAATGTACATTTTTAACACATATTATGTACACATTTTTAAACGGTAAACAGTTTGAGGAAGGTCGAGATGAAGCCACTTAGTTAAAATTACACAATCGAACTCTGCTGAAGGTAATATAAAAAGTTGACAAAACTTATCAATGTTAAAAAAGCTTTATTTGGAAACATCACGGAGGTTATACAGAAATAAACGCAGAGATTGCGACGTGGTATTTACGAACGAGAATTTCCCGAAGTCGTACTTTCGCGATCGGAGCACGTCGTCTCACTCGATACTTTCACGCGGATTGTGTCAAGTTGCGGATAATGGCACGTTTTAACTGAATTTAAACGACGAATAACGGGCACATTTAGATTTTATTGGAGTCGAGGTGTGCAGCGTCAGAATTTGAATCGGCTCGCAACGGGTAGTCCCCCCCGATTTGGCGCGATTGTGAAACAGCTGTGCTGCCTTTGCCGTGCACTAGCGCCCTCGCGGAAGGCTCGCGGTCGCGGGGGGAAACGACGATAAGAAGCGTCGAGGGTAAAAGACGAGGGAAGAGACGCGACCTCACGTAGAAGAAAAGAGAGAACGAAGGCTGCACCTTTTTTTTATATCTTCTGCTCTTTCCCTCCCCTCGTTCAAGTGCAGGAAGTGCAGCTTCGATATCTCGACACGGTGTATCGACTTACGTGATTCTCGAACGGCGGGACGCGCCAAAACGCGAAGAAACCGCGGGAGTATTTCGTAAATTCGACCCGACGAGTTTCGGTCAAACGTGCCCAAGTTCTTCCTTGGACCAATAGTGATCATTTATTCAGAATTCTGGATCTTTGGCCGCGTTCGGCGGAAAAAAGCTGCTTTGTAACTGTTGTAAAACTCTTGAATCTGACTGAGCTCTTCATTACGGTAGAATTTAAGAGCATACTCCAATCGAATTTACGAATTTTACAACTGTTGCAAAGCAGCTTTTCCTGCTGAACGCACCCTTTGATTCTGTTTTGTCGCTGATGATTACCACAATATTCTCATGGTATCTAGGCATTTTTCTATTTTTTTATTGCAATGTGATTGTATCCTGCTATAATAATATATTATATATATGATTATATATAGGGGAAAGTTCTCTATGATGAGATAGCCCAGCGAGAAATTATTCGTCGATCGACGAATCATCTCTCACTGGGAGGTTTCTATAATAATTTCTATAATAAATATGAGTTCTATAATAGTTTCTATAATAAATATGAGATAGCAGGTTTCCAACATGAAAATTTAATCACGGATCTTTATTCACAACGATTACACGATCTAACAATGAATTAAACAGATTTCACTCTAAAGGCAATAAATTCATAATGAAACCAATAAATGATGCCTATTAATTTAGTAAAAGCCCTGCTGTTTGATATTAAGAGCTTGTCTCAGAAGACTTTCTAATAGAGGAATAATAGAGGACTTTCCTCTATATGATTATATTAAATAATATATAATGTTATAATAATAACGCGACATATTCGCCACTGCACAAATTGATAAATTTTCGAGCACAAGATATAAAACGATTGTACATAGATCTTCATTATCAGATGATTACTTAAAGTATTGGAAAATCTCAAAATCTCGTTTAACGTTCTCATTTTAACAGCTACATTGAAACAGAATTAATTAACACAAGAATGTTAGTCGTCAAGACTAAATTAACATTAAAAATATATATGTTTTATAACCAATCCAGTTCGTTATCCATGCACGCATTTAATATTGATATTATAATATTAATATATAGGGTAAAAAGGTGACCAAATTCGGATCAGATACCAAATGTGGATCAAAAATTGACGAGTCGCTAATAAGCGACATTTTAAATTCACTAAAATTTTGCTCTTTTATATATTTACAACTTCACGCTATATTATCGATATCGTAAAACGCATCGACGTTTTTTTATGTCGCTTATTAGCGACTCATCGAATTGTTGATCCGCATTTGGTATCTGATCCGAATTTGGCACCCTATATAAATTTTTAATATATAACTTTAATACATAATATGTAATTTAATAAATAACACAGTTAATATTATCACAATTCAATATATTGTTTCGTACATATAAATAATGCAAATTTTAATCTTTTAATTAATTAATTTTTTATGCTTTAATCTCGCTAACGAATCTTAAAAAATTTGCGTTATTTAGCCACATCATGGCAGGCAATTTGTTATCATCTTCCGTGCCGGAGATCAAACTGATTAGATCTTATCGAGTCTCATTAATGATTTTTTATTAACCGTTTAATTGCTGCCGCTCTAGGCGACAAATATTCTCGGCTACAGCGTCCGACGTCGACTTTTACCGAGAGTCTTGGATGTGTCGTTAAATCAACGAGCGAGACTGTCGAAGGGCCCGCGATCGAAGTAGCGTCGCGGCGCCGCGCCGCTGGCAGGCCGCCAGCGTCGCTTGCCATTGAATTCGCGCGGACCGAAAATAAAGTGACTCGGCACGGTAAACAGGCGGTACAGTGACACGGGTTCGATCTCCTCGCTTGCCTCTTAAAGACCGGTTTAAACGAACGAGCGCGGGGACACTTCGGGATCATTGTTCGGCCTGGCTGCTCTCCTCGTAACTCGCGCACGAAGAACGGCCAGCGGCCAGAGGCGCATTATAGTTGCGAAGGGATGCGGCGCATGCACGTGCAACACACACACGTTCCCTGTATTTATATCTCTTTATTGTATCGACGGCACTTTGTTCGTCGATGATTGGCGGTAATGCTTGCAGTTAATAATCAAAAAACTATAAAATTAGAAGGCGGCTCATCCCCCACACTGAGAAAAATTTTCATCGGCTAAACCAATTAAGTAGCCCAAAAGAATAGGGTCGAAACGTTGTGTGTAATAAACTAATTAAATAACTATAGTTGACTATAAGTTTCCCGTCTCAATTTTTAATCATTACTGGTGACAACAAGCAAACTCTCCCTTCGTTTGTTATTATGTAATCGTGGATTATCCGATTATATTTAATCGGACATTTTTTCTCAGTGCACGTGCAACTTATTTTTAATATCTGTTTTAATTTTTTTTATTTAATTTTTGATTTTTTTTATTACATAGTGCTAACCGCGGGATAATAATAGTACAAAGGAGAAAATGTACAATAAAATGTACGTGGGCGTGTGTGAGTGCATAAAATTCTGTTTTTATATATTCATAAATTTGATATTATTGCATATAAAACGAGGTATGAAGTAAAGCAGTATTGCACGAATAAAGACGTACTGCACGTAGAGGAATGGGAAGATACTTCTAAAGGGAAAAGCTACGCCGCTGATCCGATATAAGTCGTCAGTGACTTACAATAAACGATTATACTCCCCCCTGTCTCTTACATTTATCCTGGGTGACGTTTGTCGGTGGAAATGTGGACAGGCCCTTTAACAGACTATCTTTGTGACTAGTGTTTCGTAATGTTTTTCACGTCGCGTTTCTCACGATTACTGTATCGTTACACCGTGTTACTATATCGTCGTCTTTATGATCCTCTGATAAGATATTAATCGCAACTGAACGTCGACCCAATGCATTGCAAAAAGAGACGTGCAGCAATTACGCTGGCAAATAAAATTACACGGTTTCTAATGAAATACATATGTACGTTTTACACGTCGCGTATCCTTTTCGCGGTGCACACAGTCCCTGATTTATTGCATAACTCGTCCGACTCTTCCTCGAGAGGACGATCCTACCTCTCTCGCGCCCCCGGGCAATAATTTAATGGGGCAGCATTGTGTGCAACTAAAATTATCGATATTCCGCGTCGCGGACGAGTGATCTCAAGGCCAGACGGCGATCGATCACCGCGCGGGGGGGG